TTTGTAAGTTATGTGTTATTGGAAAACAAACTAGAGTCAGTTTTATGACTGAAAAACATAAAATTAAAAGGATTCTTGATCATGTCGATTTTGATGTATGGGGTCCTAACAGGGAATCGTCATTGAAAGGATCTCAATATTTTGTTACTTTTATTGATGATTTCTCCAGGAAAGTTTGGGTATATTTCTTGAAGCAAAAATCTGAAGTCTTCTCTAAATTCAAGTTGTGGAAAGATGAGGTGGAGAACCAAACTAACAGAAAGATCAAGTATTTGAGATATGATAATGACATAAAGTATACAGATTTGCAATTTCAGAAGCTCTGTGAGGAGCATGAGATTCAGAGACATTTTTCAGTGCGCAAGACACCACAACAAAATGGCGTGACAGAAAGGATGAACAGGTCCTTAACTGAAAGGTCAAGATGTTTGAGACTGAATGCAGGGCTTCTGAAGAGTTTCTGGGCAGAGGCTGTGAATATGACATGTTATCTCATCAATAGATCACCTCGGGCATCGTTGAGTGACAAGGTCACAGAAGAGGTATGGACAGGTAATCCAGTTAATTTTGATCATTTACAGATTTTTTGTTATCCTACTTATGTGCATGTTCCTGGAGATGAAAGATCAGAACTTGATGCAAAATCCAAAAAGTGCATCTTTATGGGATATAAGAAAGGTGTGAAATGATACAAGTTTTGGGATCCGATTGCAAAGAAGATGGTGATCAGTAGAGATGCAGTTTTTGATGAACAGTCCATGTAACAACAGAATCAAGACAAGGTGTAAGGGAACAGTTCCAATTCAGATGCAGTGCAGATGGATTTAGAACAACATTCAGTGGCAACTAAGAGAGTTGAAAGTTCATATCTAACACCCGGTGATTCCATTCCAAATGATCTGCACAATTATAATCTAGCCAGAGATAGACAGAGACACACCAATATAAGGCCTTCTAGCAGATTGGGTTATGAAGACTTGGTCTCTTATGCACTTCTCATCAGCAGCGATGATCCAACCGCTTTTCAAGAAGCTATCGGTAGCCAAGAGAAAGAGAAATGGATGGGTGCAATGGTTGAGGAGATGGAGTTTTTGCGGAAAATTACACTTGGGAGCTAGTTCATTTTTCTGAGGGAAAGAAGGCTATTGGTGGCAAGTGCGTGTAAAAAAAACCAGCAGTATCAGAAAAAGAAGGGGAAATGTTCAAGGCTCGACTGGTAGGGAAGTGATTTTCACAGTAGAAGGGGATATATTATGATGAAATCTTTTTCCTGTGGTCATACATACTTCAATCAGGGCAGTATTTGCATTAGTAGCCATTTGGAATTTACATTTGGAGCAGATAGACGTTAAAACTACTTTTTTGCATGGTGATTTGGAGGAGCAGATTTACATGGAGCAGCCAGAAGGGTTCACTCAACCTGAACAGGAGCATCTGGTTTGCAGGTTAAAGAAATCGGTGTATGGGTTGAAATAGTCTTCAAGACAACGATACAAGCGGTTTGACTCCTACATGATTCAGATTAGCTACAAGAGATGTGAGTATGATTGTTGTGTTTATGTGAAGAGTTTTGATGATCATTCTATTATTTTTCTATTACTGCATGTTGATGATATACTGATTGCTGCAAAGAATATGAATGATGTACGTGGTTTGAAATCTTTATTGAGACAAAAATTTGACATGAAAGACTTGGGTCCTACGAAGAAGATTCTTGGAATGGAGATTCATTGAGACAAAGACTAAAGACAATTATGTTTATCTCCACGAGGCTATTTTGAGAAAGTTTTGGACAGGTTTGAGATGAGCAAAGCGAAGCCTGTAAGCACTCCTTTGACAAATCATTTTAATTTTTCTTCAGAATAGTGTCCTAAGACAGATACATAAATCGAAGATATGACAAAGGTTGCATATGCCAGTGCAGTTGGTTGCTTAATGTATGCAATGGTAAGTACTCGTCCTAATTTGGCTCATGCTGTTAGTCAAGTCTGCAAAACATGACTAAACCTGGAAGACAACGTTAGGAAGCAGTTAAATGAATTTTCAGGTATCTGAAGGGTACTGTAGGACATAATTATTTTTGGCAGTCAGTAGAATGATCATTCATTTGTGAGGTACATTGATTCAGACTATGCAGGTGATTTGGATGACCTGGGTATGTGTTTACTCTTGGTGGGGGCCTATATGTTGGAAATCAACAATTCATTATATTATGACATTATCTACAACTGAAGCTGAGTACATGACAGTAGCTAAAGCTGCTAAAGAAGCCTTATGACTTACTGGGCTAGTAAAGGAACCGGGCGAACTGGGCTAGTAAAGGAACCGGGCATTGAGCAAGGTGGAGTTCAGTTGCATTGTGACAAAGTGTTATTTATCTGGCTAAGAATCAGGTGTACCATATGAGAACCAAGCACATTGATGTTAGGTATCACAAGATCAGAGAATTGATTACTTCTGGTGAGATAATGTTGTAGAAGGTTTATACTGATGAAATTACAACTAATATATTGACTAAGCCAGTTACTATCAACAAGTTCTTGCATTGCTTGGACTTGTTGAGTGTGTGGAATTGCTAGAGAAGCATGGTTGCCCAACCCGCAGTGGTGCAAGTGTAACTCCCATGTATCTTTTTCTCATAAGGGGCTGGATATTCGTCAATGTGGAGATTTGTAATGGTATGACTCATATACCATATAGGGACATACGCTGGAACGAAGCAGAGCGGAAGAATCTGTCCAAATCGGGAAGTTACGTTATGTTGGTTAGGGGTGCGGGGACAACGCCCCGCAGTACGGTACATGGGCAATGTTGTAATTATATATTGTACTTAGAGTTTACTCATGGAGTTATAAATATGTCTGTTTGTAACCCCATGAGGTTTCTCTGAATTCTATAACCCTTTTTTGAATATTGAAAGGAATCGCCGCTCTGCTCCCGAGAACGTAGGCATCTTTGTCGAACCTCGTTAAAACTTTGTGCTCTTCTGGATTTGTGTCGATTTCTATTTTTCTTCGCCCTAATTTCTCAACATCCTCCAACCCGAGCAGCTTTGTCTCATCATCCACAATTTTTCCATTTGTTGGATGGCATATTTTATTGGGGCATACACACCACACCATTCTTAAGTATTTACATGTCTAATACTTAAAATACAAATATTCATATTTGCGTGCATAAAACTCTAAATTTTTTACACCACAAAAGTGAAATGCAACTTTTCGTGCCTATGTCTATGACACCAAGGTGTTATAAGTGTAATATCAAAGTTTGGGTGGTAGGTATGTAAATACATAAGAATTGTGTGCTTGTATGTAAATTTCTCTTTTCCTCTTTTTGTTAAAGTTTTCAGGTAGATTTTACTATGTCCTGAAAGTTATTTGATTAGTTATTTTGAGTCGCATGAATGATTAGCTTTTGAGATTGACAATCATGATTAATTTTGTTATAAATAACATAATAATACAAGGGCAGAAAGATCATTTTTTTTCATAAAAAACTGCAGCATGACTATTATATAATTGTACAAAATATACACATAGCATCCCGACATAGCAGCGGCACAACAGTTTTTTAATAAGCCGTAGCTGCCCCAAACAAACCCGTTCCATACAAAATTGTTATAGTGTGAGCTCATTTTAAACGATAAAGCAGTGCTAGAACAGTACAACCCCTGCATCAAAGAAGGACCGCCTCTACTAAATCAAGTTACACTTTCATGTAGGTAAGTGTGATGAGAAATACTATATTAGTCAGCATGTCTTTAATTGTCTTCGAATTTGATGAATGTCGACTCAATTAGGAATAAGAGCAAAAAATGATGAAAAAAACTAATTGTTTGTTTTGGATCAATTTTATTTAATTTTTTCTTTTATTTTTAAAAATAGATATTTAGTTACTCTGTTTTTTACAAATTTTTATTTTTTATTTCTAAAAATAAATTAGTATGTTTTTAAAAACACTAAAAATAATTTTTAAGATATTTTGACTGTTCTTAACAATTATTATATTTTAATAAAAATAAAAAAAATAATAAAAAGTGAACCCAATAAAGCTCCTAAGCAATTAAGAATTAAAACCATTACAATAGGGAGCTGCAAGAGGAAAACAAGGAAATAACTTTCTGGCATAACAACAAGAAGGAAAAATATATAGCTTATGGGAAGCTTTTGTTAAACTTATATATATATATATATATATAGCTCACGACTACCTAACTGATTATACAGTAGCAAGAATTATAATGGAGATAACAAACGTTCAACTCTCAAAAGTTTCAAGGAATTACCAGTTTGTGAAGGTTCGTTCCAACGCAATGTGAGACCTAGCTTCATTTCCAAGAATAGTGTTAAAATAAATATCCTAATTCTTTGCAAGAGGTCATTTTGTGATAGAAGCTATAAAATGTCAATTTAACTCATACTCTCATAATACGTGTTGAAGTAATCTCCACTGAGGACTAGGGGTGTAAACGAGCCGAACACGAGCGAGCCATGCTCAGCACGTGTTCTACTCGTTTATGT